AACATACTGTACACATCAGTTTTTGATAAAAAACGGAAAATCGAGTAATTTTGAACTGCTAAAATCGGGTAACAGGAAGAAATGTAATTAAATATTATTGTTCAATTTTTTGACTAAGTAATTTCCATGACACATTTTATACTATGAAAAATATTTCTTCATAAAAGCTAACACTCAACAAGTGCTGTAAGCGAATTGACATTCGTAGCTTTTCGTCTTCCGGCTGGTAACTGCAAACCGGCTCGTTTCAACTGATCACGCAATGATTTACCGCCATCTTTGGATTTCGCTCTGAAATAATTCTAATTTTTCCAATCATTCCAGTATTTTTGCATCGCTGTCTAAGTAAGTTGCGTTGATGAAAACTGAATTGATTTTCACATATAAATTAAATTGAAATTTAAATCGGAATTAAAATTAGCACAAAGTCAATGCTTGCTAACGATGAGTATTAAATTGTTAAAGTACTAATGAATTTTACCCACAATAATGTCAATTTTGATCGCATCATTTAAAATTTCTAACATTTCATAGAAACGAAAAAATTAAACAGTTAATCAAATAAAATATTTAGATTAACAGGAAAGGAAAACAAAGAAGGAAGGAGGAGAAAGAAAGAAATGAAAGGTGGAAGAGAGAAGAGGGAGCAAAGAAAAAGAAAGTGAAGATCAAAAGAATATTAAAAATTTGTAGTTGAAAATATGATAAAATAAATTAATTCATTCAATTACCTGCGAAGAATTCCACCCAGAACGGATGCATTGAGGCATTCCGGTGGTGAAAGTCGTCGATGAATTTCACCCACCGTCACTTTGTACTTCGCCGCACTGCTCAGCAAACTTAGCCGACCTTTAACACCATCCATTCATTCATTCATTCATTCATTCATTCATTCATTCATTCATTCATTCATTCATTCACCTTTCATACATTTCTCACATAATCATCACAATTAAATCCTCATCAGACTTTAACAAAAAATAAATAACCAATAAACTATTATTTCAAACATTTTTTATATATTCATAAATAAAAGTGATTAATTAATTAGTTTCTACTTTGCCTGTACATTCCGAATGATTGAATTACCCACTCAACAATTCTTGAATCACTATTTATTAGAAAGTTGAATATGCATCTAATTTTACATTTGCAAATTGTTTTATAGAAGAAATATTGTTGCATAAAAGATTTAAATATCGTGAAATTTTCTTTCCTACATATGACTGCAACAGACTATATTTTAGTTAACTTTTTTCCTTTATGAATTTTATCTTCTCCTATTTATCACTATTCATTTCTAACGGTATATTGTTATATCTGAAAGAGTTTGCTCATGTTAAGTACTGTATTATCACTATTAGATTAAACAGCAGAGGACGCATCTGATTCTATTTGTTCTATTTATTGATTATCATTACTGTTTAGCTTTTATAAAATCAAAATATTTAATTTTGATAGCAAATTTTGAACAATAAAGTTGGATAGAATTAAAGTCATCGTTTTTAAATGGATAAATTTTCGAGAAAAGAAACCTGGTACTGAACAAAAGACGTCGAGATAATTAACAGTATGAGATGTTTGATTGTTGCTATGCATCATTTGTCCATTCATTGAACATGTCGTTATCATCGGCTTAGGTCTTGAACATGCCGCTTAAAAAATAGAAAGGAAACTGAAGTTGAAATTGAAGGGAGAGAAAGAGAGAAAAAAGGTTATTAACAGGTAATAAAATATGTGCTATTATTTTTTCAGGCTACGGTAAACAAATATTTGATTATTTTTTATTTATTTTTCATCAACAATATTTTGAAATAAATAAATGATTCCAGATATTAATTAATGTTTGTTTACTAATTATTGTTGTTTCATGTTTACCTTTACGAATAACTCCACGTTGTCCAGCTATATTTGCTTGTGCTGAAGACGAGGTACTGCTCATTTCCTGGAAAGAAAAAAAAAATTAATAATTGAAAAATCGGAGGAATGAACACTATATATAAATGCTCAATACTTAACATATTTTAAGGCATAGCATAACATATTTTTCATTTTACAAAAAGGCATATTTCTTTCTTCATCAAAATTGATACAAGTGCGAAAATCCATTTTTTCTGTTCAGGATTTAATTTAAAAGAATTAGGGTTTTACAGTATCAACACTTCTAGTATCTGCAACCATGCTATGATGTGATTGTTGTTGTTGCTCCTGTTGTTGTTGTTGTTGTTGTTGTTGTTGTTGTTGTTGTTGTTGTTGTTGTTGTTGTTGATGGTGGTGGTGTTGTAAGGAAGTAGTCGAGGGAATATGTTGTTGAGATAACTGTTGCATGAAAACCGGTTGCGGTCGACCGGTAACCATCAGGTATTCCCGTCCATTTGGTACGTGAACCTGAAAATAATTTGCTTATCAATAAATGATTAAAGGATAGAGCAGTGAAACTAAATTCGAAATGTGAACTCATCTTACTTATTGAATCACTAAAAAGTTACCAAACTTTCCGGTTTACTTTCCAAATCTAAATTTGAAATTACTCAGAAGAATGAGAAAAATGACGCTGTAATGAACATTAGCTTGTTGTTGATAACACGTAACACGCGTAAGTTCATTCGCTTGTTCACGGAACTGTTCTGATGTAGCGCTGGTAATACTATATTGTTGCAGCTGAAAAAAAATGATAAGAAAAAAAATTTTCGGATGAAATCTGTAATTATGAATTCCATGACGAAAAAAAAAAAAACAGAAAATATCATTGTAAGAAAAACTTTTAGAATTCTATTCACATTTGATAGGATCATTTTCAAAATTCAAATCTTCGCACATGCTTTATTAAAATTGATGAATTACTTGTTCGGCATGCGGATAAGGGCCTGGATTATAAGCGAATGCGTAAGCCGGAGACGGAAATCCGATGTGTTGCTGTTGTAGCAGTGATTGTTGCTGTTCATTTGAAATAGGTTGAGTTTCGATACCTTCAAGTTGAAGGCTCTAAAATAAAGAAGAAAAGGAAAATGTTTTTTATTTTTTTTCAAGATTTAATCTATTCCAAAATTATTAAACCGCTAACATATATTAGCAATATTTCAGATTGCTATATTTTATGCAATTATATTTTATATTTTTTAATGCTACTATTGTTTAATTGTGTGAAAAAATAATTACTTGTCAATTTATTAGAAATTATACACTGTAAAACTTAATTCATAATTTTGTTTTTTAAAATTAAAGTTATGGTGAAAAAACTTCGAGATTTTATAAAATCTTTTGTATAGTGGAAAAAATCAAGTTCTAATACATATACAATTGAAATGCAAATAAATTATATCACCATTATCAGTAACAATGATAAGGACCTTTTTCCTTTTTTCATCTCTTTTTCTCTTCTCACTTATATATCCTTACCACGACCTCTATTTCTTTCCCCTTCTCTCTTTCATTCTTTGTCCCTTATTTTCATCCCATTTTCATTTTTAGAAAGTTTTAAATTTGTTCGTTTCATGAAGAAAGAAATTGACAATTGATTGTTGTTAATGATTTTATGCAAAAGTATGGAATGGTTCCGTTCCTTGCAGTAAATGAATAATAGGAGGCAGAGGGAAAAGAATTGGAAAGGGTGAAGAAGAGAGAGGTCAAAAAAAGAAAAAAGGTCATTTTGAATGATACTTAAATGCCAATTGTTATCATTCCCTTTTCTCTCCCTCTCTCTTCTTCCTCCTCTCTCCTCTTTCCTTTTCGGTTTTTTCTTCCTATTATTCAATAGAAAAGATTTAATTTACTATCAAATTAACTGGATGAAAAAAGAAATTAGAAAAATCGTAAAAGTAGTTAAATTTGGGACAGTAAAAGAAATTCGTCTTTTCATACATTTTATTGCGGGAGGAGATGAAAAATCCTTTTAAGGATTATTTAACCACTTCAATTTCAGAGAAACAGGAATTTTGATCAACAAATTAAATAGGAGCACAAGCCTTCCATGTGAACGACTTATTATAAAGTTTCGTGCCTTCCTTTTACAATTAATTAATTAATCACTTCATTCGAATGGATTTATCCATTATCAGTCATTGTAAATACAATAAAAATTCTTTTCAAGTCCTAAATAATATTGGAATTATAAAATGACAAAGCTGACTTTAATATTTGTCAATCTTTTTATCCTTTAACCAAATGTTTGCTTACCCTTTCTATCGGTTAAAATCTTTTAATTTTAATTGCATTCTTTCTAATCATCCGAAATAGTCTTACAGGTTGAAGTTAGTAAACATTAAAAGTCTCATATTTCAGTTGTCCTTTATCCAATCATTATAAAGGAATCAATTAAATGAAATAGCGATATTTAGTGCGGATATCATGATATAGCTGGCTGATTATCATGATTATTCCCATTATTCCTTATTCATTCTCATTATTATAAATATATCCATGTTTGTATAACTGTATCCGTATCTGTATTTATATAATCAAAAATGCAATTGAAGAGAGAAAATCCATTCAATAAAAGAGAAACAAAATGTGATGTAAATTGAACAACTTTTTGGTAATTAAAATTGATTTGATTAAATATTAAATTATGTATGTGAATAATAGCAAAGATATATAATATTTAACAAAAATAACTGTGTGTGCTTCGTGTGCCCTCAATTAACTGATTAGCATAACAGGTAAAAATTTAGATTAAAAATCTGTTAAAATGCAGGAAACTCTAATTAAAATATGTCTATCAAAAAATATATTTTATACATGAATATCGTAAACCTGGAAATTTTAAATTTTAGCGAATTATCAAAATCATTATCAATTAAATTATCAGTTAAACGGAAGCCTTTTTGATAAATGCTTATTGAGAATTAAGAAAGCATGTTAAAAAAGATTCGTAAATTTTAATCAATTTCTGATATATAAGATACAAAATTTTACAATTTATAGTTAGTATGATTTTTCATTAACCAATTTAAAAATGGACAAAATTTAAATCGATACCACTGATCTTAAAGTTTTACCTTACAAATGACATAAAGTATATCTAATTGTAACGTCATTTCATGATTTAATTAGCAGATAATGTCGTAATACTGTAAACAGTGAAAGGAAGAGAGTTAAAAGAGGAAGAAAGAGAAGAGAAGAGCAAGAGAAAGAGTTGAAAGATAACTGTTTAATATGACTCACTTGCATTACGTTTCTTTAACGTTTACTGCTAATACCAGTAATTTGTCGCCTTAGGCCACAAATCGTCCGGATACTCTCTGATAACTTGTTTTCCTACAGGTGTAACTCTCCGTGATAGCGACGAGCACAATAGCAACAGTGATAACCTTCGGGGCAGACTGGTATTCCTTGTAAAAATTGCTGGTAATGTCTGCAGCTCGATATAGTAGTAACTCCCGGTTATGGAGAAAAAAGAAAAAAAGAATGATAAATTATACCTTTACAGGAAAATAAACTGGAGAGGAAACTAAGAAAGAAAAAAGAAAAAGAAAATAAGAAAAAAATATCCCATTTTTAAATTAATGCAAAATTAAACTAAAAAAAAAAAGCAATTTTTTTACAGAAAAAGTTTTCTTCTCCCTTTTTTATCAAAAAATTACAAAATTTATATTTTTTTTACTTAAATGAGTAATTTTGATCTTTTCAATTTGTTGCCTTTTTTGTTTTCTTTTTCTTTTTTTGCTTAAAGATTAGCATTTAATTATCTTTTTGAGAATTGAGAACCCTCGGGGTTATATCAACTTTTCCCGTCCCGTTCACCTTCTTATCACCCTTAGGCTATTTACTTCTCCTCTCGAAATTTACTAACAAATTTCGCCTTAAGGGCTTTATTTACATGTTGATGTCATATCATCCAAGAAAACATTAAAATATCAAAATTATTTGCTACAATTAAATGTCGCATTTATCGTGTCTCTTCACCCACGCTTTCCCTAGCTCATTTTATGACCCGAGGCAAAGTAGCCATAGAACATACTGATGTGTGTGTGTGTGTGTGTGTGTGTGTGTTTCAAAAGAGGTACACCATCTATCAGGTCTACGGAGAAAACCTAAAGAAAACCATTCCTTTAACCTCTATTCCTAATTCCAAGAAAAAGAAGAAAAATATGCCGTTGGCGCTTTTACGAACATCCGAAACTTTTCGTTTCAGCCATACCATCCGTAAACCGCAAAATGATGTAAATAAAGGGACCCCCGGGGAATGGGTGGGACAATGGAGAAGCGGTTGTTACCTGCCAGGTGTACGAAACTAATACAACCCAGT